GATCAGGAAGGATATTCCGTAAACAGAATAGATGAGAATAGCTGAGAAGAGTGAAGGAGTTGTTCCGGTGCTGTTGTACGGACTGTAGATAAACATCATTGTGTTGAATCGGAGCTACTTAGTTTTCTTTCTCTCTCTTTTTAATGATGATAGAATATAAAAAGTAACAGTTAGTCTTTTATAAAATTATATTTCATAGTTCTTATCTCTCGCGCAAATAATAACAATTGAAAAGGGTTGTAGCTCTTCTTTTTTTTTCCTTCTCTACACACGCATCGTGCACGTGTTGAAAGTCTTACCTTCTTCCCGTTTGAGAGAAATAGACATGCATTCCTCTCTTTTTTTCTCTTGTCGTTCTTTTTTGTTTATTCTTCTTCTATAGGGATTTTATCATTTTTACTCTGATTGAAAAAGGCGAAGGGAGGTCTATTCCTAACAGAACAGGGTGCGCGTATGAATAACAAAGAAGTACTAAACACAATGAGTATTTTCATCTAATTAATTGTCTTTGTTTCGTCCTTTGGAAAAGCAAAAAGTGTTCAGAGCAATAGGGGCGGGATGAGGGTGTGACAGGTATTTAAATTTGACAGGTCAACAAGAATTATGCTTAATTTTTGATAAATAATGATGAATTTTTTTTTTTAAATAATTTTTCTTGTTTTTGAATTTATTGTTTATATGAAAAAGAAGAAGAAAAACACGAAAGAAAGAAAAAAATTATATTAATAAGGAAAAAGAAAAGAGTGACGATGCGAAAGATGATATACTTCTAATTCTTCTCCTCATCAACTTCTATCCACTCCACCCTCATACTCAGTTTGCTTTTTAGATTTTTCAATGACAAATAAGTCTATTTGTGAAGTTCTATACCAGTTAAAATTGTGACATTGTCTCGCTTGAACGTTTTCGAATTAAATATTTATTGAATTATTTGATTTAAACAAAAATCGAATTCCATATAAATTCATTTCAATTGAGAAAGCACTTTTTCATCTTCTAATTAACGAAAATCAATGAATAAAATATTTTATTTAATTTTTCAAAAATGAAACATTTATAGCTGATGTTGGTTTATGTAGATGGTTGAATTTTATTGATAATTCGTTTTGCTTCACGTATTCCACTTTAAAATTCGCTATCAATATAACCAATAGATCCATCATAATTCACATGTTCACCAGCTCAATATACACAATCATCATGTGTTTCTCGTGATAATTGTTTTAAAGTTTCAAAATCATCTCTAAGATGATAACTTGTATATGAACCTTGAGAAAAAGGATAAGATCTTCAACGTGTTATCAACGATTTGATTGGATAAAATATTCAAGGATAAATACGATGAAGAGAATAAAGTACTTCTTCTACAATTTGTTTATCTGTGTTTTGTTCGAATTGTCATGTTATATGGCCAAATATATATAATGCTAACATAGAATGTTCAGGTAAACAATAATAAAATCTAAGTCGATCAGTGACAACACTTATTCTCTGTACATATTTATCCCAAAATATCTGAGAAAATTGAAGATAAATTTTATTAAGTAAACCAAAACCTATGTTCTGAATAGCTTCTTCTTTTCATTGAGATAACGATGAAGAAAAAATAGTTGTATTTGATTCTAAATAGCCAAGTGAAATTGTCAAAAGAACGCATTACATAAATATGAACAATTATTTTTTGCTGAAATTCAAACAAATCCATTAGATTCATTGAATATATCAATATTAGTTACTTGACTATTTCATTTAACAGAAAGATTATATCTGAGGCTATATTTTTAACTCAGGAACCTAAACCATTAACAATAGATAGATCAGATTCTTTTAGACCATCTTCTCCTCTTTCATGAACTGCAAGATAACTAAGACACATTTGAACAAGAAATCTCATCTATTCATTTGAAATATTTTTCAATCGACACTTGATTAAATCAAATACAGATATATCTGATTTTTCATTTGGATATTCTTTAACAATTAATAATAAATCTTCAATAAATTGCATTGCTTTATTAATCAATTCATCAGAAATAATATTTCCATTTTCATCAAAAATTTTCATATTTGATCTATCACAAGAATCAGATACAATAAAATCTTTATTTGATGGAATATAATAATTACGTGAAAAGTTCTTTTGTTCATCACGAAAAAGATAATGAGCACCTAAATTAATTGGAATATTTTTACCAGGGTGTGGGGTGTAGGTGGGAGTCGGTGTGGGTGGACGTGGGGGTGGGATGTGGGTGTTGATCTTCTCGTGACCCACACACCCTGACAGTAGAATACCTTATCTTGTAGAAGAACTTTTCAATTTTACATTAATCGGGGATTGATAGAGTCTTCTAAAACTGATTCTACGACCAAAAGAATACTACTTGAAAAAAAAACTTAATCTAAAAATGCATCTAAAATAAACTACTTGTTATTAAAAACAATGTTTTGAGACAAATAAATGCAAATGAGAAGTTTAGTTCAATCGTTTTCTAAAATTGTCCAATCTGTTTCATGTTACAGTAGTGACATCAATATCGAAATGAAATCTTTCCTTAGGTTTCAAATCTCTATGATTATGTTACAAAATGCATAAAAATTAAACTTCACTTTCAATTTTGTAAATCTTGGAATATTTCTCTAATTAGTTGATAACTCGAACTCTATATTACCGAAGTCGATGATTAAACACTATCAATCGTTCTGATTTATCGCCGATTTTCGGAAAATCGCATCTTCTACCACAATCACGATAAAATCTGATTTAATCATCGATTTCCTTGTGAAATACAATTAATCACAATTTTACGCCGATTTTTTTCAAAATCGTCAAAATCGTGTCGATTCTGACGACATGGGAAACGAAATAAAGCTTTCCGGCAAAACAATTCAAAAATAAAAAAAAAATTTACATTTTGTACTTAATTTGACTATGCAAGTATGTTGAATCCAAAAAAATAGAGAAAGCTATATTCGTTAAATAAAATATATCATTCTGTGTAGAATTCCAAGCGCTATCTTTTGATAAAAAAAAGGTATTGCAATCAATGGAATAGTAGAGGAGAAATTTCATAAATACTGCGAGTGTAATTTTTTATGGCTTACTCATTATGTTAAATGAGCTGAGTACTTATTTCGATTCCGTAAGGGAATCGATTACAAAGAAAAAAAGCAATTGTTTAATTCAGTGTGAGTATATTCGTCATTTCATACACACATGTCAAAACAATACTTGGATAGATAAGGGTAAAAGTTGGAAGATATTCTCATTGATTCAAACGATAGCATAAATTATTACATGTGCTTTTTGATAAAACGTGTAAATGTAGCTTATCGTTACCTGTTTTTTTTTGTATAATATTCACTGATTGGATGATATTCAATTGCATCATTGATTTAATACATTCGTTTCTATGCATGTTCCCATCTTTGTTTATTTATGAAATTATTCAAGCAAGACTTTCTCATTCCTTTTTCTTATTCAGATTCTAGATATATCTTTTTATGAAATCCACAAAAGAGAATTTGATTTATACAGTGAAGAGCAATCTTAATTCAACCACAGCAGCAAAGAAGTTTAATATAGTATCTGAAAAAACTGTACGTGTACATAAGCACCTGCCATTAGAAAAGATTGGTGTTGATTGGTTTAGTTATCTTGATGATGATCAAGAAAATGATCTAGTTTTAATAATTTGAATCGTTTCTATTCATTTTTCTTTGCATGAAAATAGTAAAACAAACTTAATAAAATAGATTCATTATTGTGTTGAGAAGAAAAATATAAAACATTTGTGTTTATTTCATGCTAGCATATGATTCTTAGCTAAGATTTCAGGTTGAGATGAGAATTATAATGAAATTCCGTGTTAAACCTACCATTAGTAATTAGAAGAAAAATTATATAGTACGACAGAAAGTGGAACAAAAAAATGTTTTTCTAATTAATGTTTATTTTTGTAGCTAAAAAGTGTAAAGATACATAAATTTGTATTGTTTTAAAAACGACATGAGTCAATGCACGATGATGAGAGCAACCGAAGATTATATATTTTATCCTGACTGAAGGTTATTTTCATAGAAATATTGATCTTCTTTTGAAATCAACTGTCATTTTACGTGAATACGGTAGAGATATGAAAAAAATACTCAGATAAGTAGAATAAAAATCAGAGAAAAATTCAACAAAAATTAACCTCGTGACTATTATAACGCTTATTATTAGACATCAATTAAATATTTTTCAATTAATCATACATCAATCGATAGAGAAATATTTGCTCTATTTCAGAAACTGAAATTCAGCTGTGTTTTATATTGAGAACTTGAGTTATCAACAGTTTATTAAATAAAGCTTGTTGTCTCAGCAGAACTAGGTTTACTAACTCTATATATTATAGATTCGTCCATTTCATCTAAAATTATTCAAAGCTCTATTATATTTATGTCCATAAATCAGTTCACATAGTAAGCAAAGTCTTTTGAACAGCGGATAAGTGCGTTGGAAGAAAAATATATCTGCTGATGAAGTATTCAAATTTGACTTTTCCTATGACAACTCGTATACGTGACATTTCATAAATTATGTAATGTTTCACATATTCTTACCTAACTTGAGGTATATTGAACATTTTTTGGAAGTTTGACGCTGTTGAGTGAAATTTATCGTAAATATTTGCTCTCATTCTGTCTAAAGTGCATTTTTCTTCAGCAAATCAAAATGAGCAAAGAGTAGAAAAAAAAATATTATATTTGATGACTCAAATAAATAATACACCCCCAACATGGTGATTATCGCTAAATATAGTAGGGTATTTGTGTTGATGGCAATTTCGCATGATCACCTGAGAAAAAAACGATGTTGTTTAAAAGTATAAAAGCGTCATCATATTGTTAAAATGAAGATACATTCGTATTCAAAATCAAAGCAAGCATGTAAGTCAACGATTTTTTCTGATGCGATATTCATAATAGAGTAATTTATTTTTCAGTTAAACAAAATCATGTTGAAGCACACACTACTTGTTACACTTCTTTTTCTGGATATTGCACAGTCGGAATTAACAGAAATCATAACGATAGATCAAGGCTCTCTTCAAGGAATAAGAAATTCAGATGCAGAAGAGTTTTTAGGCATTCAATATGCCAAGTGTCCTGAGCGGTTTGCACCAGCTGATGATCCTGAACCATGGTCAGGCATCTTCCAAGCCACTATACCAGCACCAGGTTGCTACCAAAATTGCACGTCATTTCCCAGTGCTTGTCCGGCGAACATCAGTGAATGCTGTTTCACATTAAATATCTATCGACCTCACAATACGACAAGCAATGACAGTCTGGCTATTATGGTTCATTTATATGGGGGTTCTTTTGTTGAGGGCTCTGTTGATGTGCCATTGCTGAATGCAAGTCATCTGGTCGGACTCAACAAAAACATTATTGTTGTCACTTGCAATTATCGACTGGGAGCATTCGGCTTCTATTTCAATCTCGATGATGCTAACGTCTCTGCTCCGGGTAATGTCGCTCTCCTTGATCAACTGCAATGTTTACAATGGATTCAAAATAATTCTCGCGCTTTTGGTGGAAATCCGTTAAACGTAACATTGTGGGGACAATCCGCTGGTGCATCATCCGTCGGATTTCATTTGCAACATTACTATCTTAATCCCAATCAATCGCAACTTTTCCATCAGATCGTAGTCCAATCATGGCCTGCTGCCATTCAACCTCGAAGCCTAAAGGAATCAAAACAATACAATAGCCATCTCGCCCTGCTGGTCGGATGTCTTGATGATGAAACTGTTACTGAATGTCTTCGTTGCAAAACTGCTGAGGAGATTCTCAAAGCATCGGATACAGTCAAATACGATATAACCACATACTATGATAAACTTATTACTGTTGGGTTGCCATGGCAAGCAACTTTAGGGCTCAGCTCATTTTTTCTTCAATTCAACAATATCGACTTCATCAATCGATATGCTTCTCTTATAAAAATACCAATTCTTTGGGGTACAGATAAAGACGAAGGAACATTGTTTATCTATGCCGCAATACCTCAATCAGTACCAATTCTATATCCTAAGGCGCTAACAATCATTGGTGGTCTGTGGCATCCGGAAAACGTACCTGCGATTTCAAACCTCTATAAACTTGATTCGTTATTTGTTCTTAACCCAACAGCCGACTATCACGATGTTCTGTCTCAAATCCTTGGTGATTATGCATTTACTTGCGCTATGCGCAATATGAGCAAAGCATTAGCTCGAGCTACCAACTCAAATATTTTCTTGTACGTTTTCGATTATATTCTCAAGGCAAACGGGACCCTCTACGGTTCATCACACTGGGCGCCAGAATGCTATACACATGTGTGTCATAAAAGCGAGATGCCATTAGTCTTTAATCCAACTGGTGTATCCACCATTAAATTTACAAACGACGAAGAAATATTTGCACAATCAATCGGACGCTATTGGACGAACTTTGCTAACACAGGCAATCCTAACAATCGAATTCCTACCTTGACTTCCTGGAATACGTTCACTACGTTCAACAACAGCAGTCTTCATCTCACGCTACCGGCATCGGCAAATTGGAATAATTACCGCGGCAACCCATATTGCGATTTCTGGGATTGTTTAGGCTACATTTTTTGATATAGTTTATCAAGTGATATCATCGTAGGCAATGGATGACATTGGACAAAATAATTCACTTATATTTTGTTTGTTTTCTTTGTACTTCTATCAGTATAATCTTTAGTGCCATAACAAAGTTAATGTGCAGCTAAATGTATACGTGATGGTGAAATTATTTTATTTTATTATTTCTTTTTTCTAATAAATGTGATATTTCGACATTCATTTCATTGAACGTGATTGTCAGACTTGAGCGAAAGAAGTAGCCATAAACTAATGTTCATTTAATCTATAGTACACAACCATAATTCGTATAATCATAATCATATTTTGATATAAGCATAATGTTAGAACCCAATATGATGCTGCAGTTATTCTAATCATATTTAAATCTAATTCGAGGTTCATTTTATTAGAAAAAAGAAATAATAAAATAAAATAATTTCACCATCATGGATACATTGAGCTGCACATTAACTTTGTTATGGATTTAATAAAATGAACCTCGAATTAGATTTAAATCTTTAGTGCAATAGGTCTTAGGAATTCAATTAGAATCACCGCATGTGTGATTCTAAACAAGATTAGATTCATATGAGGAAAGTTCTTCCATTGATTAATGTCAACATTTGATTTTTCAGCCTAATCAGGAGTCGATTAGGAAAGGACTAATTTCGAAATTAATTCAAATAGAATCTGCTAATTAGGAGATGAGCCAAAAAATAATTGGTAGAACTAATTTGCAGCAATGGTAGCTTGTGATATTACTCAATCAGTTATTATATTAATCAATGCCCTTGAATAGCATCCAAAAACTGATCATGATAAGTTTCAATCAGCTGTATTCAATGAAAAATTTGAATCTTCGGTCGATCCTAGATTCCGAATAGTGACATTGTTCTTTACCACATCATTGTCTTCTCGAAAAAGCATTTCTCATTATGAATAGACCACAATTACAAGTATGAATTTCTTTGATTTTCCAAGGCAAATGAATTCATTTGTTAAGCGGAACATAAATAAATATCGCTTTATGAAATAAATTCATAGAACTTCGATTTGATTGACGATTCGCTGCATTAATTCAATGCGAACACGAACACTGTCAATGTTTAATACCGGTATCTCTGTAGGTTTCATCAATTGAGAATGAGGCTCAATCTTGATTTCCCAGGTCGATGATTCCTAAAGCAGTATTCCGTGAATTTCCGGCTGGAATCCACGGGAAGGACACTGGAATACTGCTTCTATGTTCCGTTGATTTTCGGTGCTTTTCTGCGGGAACCGGCCCGTACTTCTCGACCTGGGTTGTCTTCAATTATCTTTCAGTTCTTTCGTTTATTTCTTATTTGGTAATAAAGGCGTAGCAACACTCGATCAATATGAAAGAGCTCTTTTTCTTATAACTTGGGGCTAGTAGCTAAAATTTTATAAGAAGACTCAGCTTTACGATCAGCTTAAGTGTTTCTCATGTTTAATGATCACAATTCTGTTTGTTAGCATATTAACTTCATAGTTAACAACGTTGAAGAATCAATTCATGTAAGTCTATCAAAATGACGGAAAACTCATCCTAAATGGTTAATCCTAGGATTAATCTAAAAAAATATTTGCTCTACACTTAATGATTTTGATGTAAGATTGTTTTAACATAAAAAGACAAGGAAAACTAAAGCTTCATCAAATTAAATTGTCATTTAGCTTATGTCCCCTAATAACTGTTGCTCAGACCTGATAACAAAGTGAGAAAGGGGTATGGGTGTGTGTGGCTGTGGGTGTGAGTGCGAGTATTGGAGTATATCTTGTGTACACCCACCCACACCCGATAATATACCTACAATACATACCATAGATAGTAGGTATTGAACAAAGAGCTGTAAGGAGAAGAACTTTAGTAACTCTGCGAAGTGCACGAACCATCGAAATTCAATGAAGTTCACGAACTCATTGAAATAGACGAAACCATGAAACTCAAAAACTTGTTGGTAGGCAAAAACTTATAAAAATTCACAGAAATAGAGCAAGTTCTGAAACTCAACGAACAATACCTATAATATGCTTATAAAGAATCTAATCCTCTTCGAGCACTCAAATAATCGATGAAACCGAAAGTTTTCAGTATCGCATTTCAAGTGCATACAGATTTGAGTTGACCATCAGTTAAATCTCGATGAAAAAGGAATATATACAAAACAGAAGATGATTGATTCCAACCAACAAGGAAAACTAAATGCATCTCCACATACAAGATGTATATGTAGTTTATCTCGATCGCGACACTTCTGAGACGACGTACTCCATCAGTTTAGATACGTTGATTTCTAATCATAAATTCTTCTGTTCTAGCCTTTTTCGCTATGCAAACCAAAATGAAAATATAAGGAAGAATGCTGGTTCTGTTTACATGGGTTTAAGAAAGTTTGATCGTTGGATAATGCTGAAGGTTAAGCATAGCCAGTCTGCGAGAACAAGATAGCTTTTACTAAAAAAAGCTATCGTCGAACAACTCTTATATGTACAATAGTTGTTCGATGTCAAAACGACCGTATCTGCGATAGTGTCCTGAAGAAAGTAAAGGAAAAACAAATCTCTTATTCATTACGAGATGACGTTAGAGTAATCACAAAATCATATTTTGTTTTTGACTTTGACTTGATGTTCAATTATATGATGAGTTTCTTATAACTTCATTCACTTTGAGGAGATATTTTCATAAACGATTCCATCAATTATGTGGAAAGTCAATGGTTCGTGTTTTATTCCTTACTCGAGATAATGTGAGAGCACAACATTTTCTTAAAGCACCGATTCGTTGCATATTTTTAATTTAAAACATATTCATATGTTTTCATTGAGATACCGTGATAGAAATACAAATGGGACAAAAATCTCATTCTGACAATCGCCATACGTTTTGAGTCTATGAATGAATTGTGATATGTATTCCAAAAAATCGAGTAACTATGCATGCAAGAACTATCGACAAGCGAGAAAAATTCTCCGACAAGTAAGCATATGATTTGAGAATTTCTTCAATGTGCTCAGTGCACCTGACAAACAACAGTGAGATTAATCAAATAATTCGAATGATCAATAGTCACGCTCATTTCGAAGACAACAATCAACGATATCCTACCTCTATATATTCGAGGATTGACTTTCATGGTCGACATTCTAAAAGCATAAGATATTTGATAAATATCCATTTTCTCGAATGAACACTAACGAATTTTTAAATTACTTGAAGTTTGCTGGAGTGTGTCTTTTCTTTTCTTTTGTCAGTACCAACATCAGTCGTTTTCGAAGCACCTGCAATTCAAAACAATCATTTATTTCGCAAGAGCTTTTTTATGCCATTTTCGATAAAATTTAATATCCTTTCACTATTTGGTGGCTTACTCGGAGCAGAGACTAATGTCACCAATAGCAACAGAAAAAATGAAGGTTTTTTTAGAATGAAAGTGTGAGCGTGAATGTGTCAGATCTTCTCTTGACCCTCATGCGTAAGTCCATTTAAACTTGGGTGAAGAAAAACAAGAAATAATATTTTCTTTTCTTAAAATTGCTTGATGCAGATATGTAAAAATACTTCTTCAGTTGTTCTTAAATTTTGTTTTATTCTATAGAAGAATTAAATTCTCCTTACTATAGTGGCAAAATTAGGCAAACTTGTCTAGCATGCGATCGAGCATAGCGATTTTCATCATTATCATCATTCAATTTCGGAACAAAATCAACCACATAGATGTGATCAACACAAAAAAGTATATGTGGGCTTCCAGCATTGTTTTTGCTAAACTTTCTTTATAACCCACTAGAGGTGCGTTTGAAGATGTGCAATGATGTTGTAAATACTGAAATATTGACTGTGAATCACGAACATCCGATGAACTGGGGCATTGATTGCAGTAACATCCGTGTTCGCTGGAACATTGAGACATCAGCTATATCAAAATATGCAATTTTTGTAGCGGTGTCTTCAAGTGTTTTAGTGATACCTAGTATCTATTTGTCAGTCTGTTCATGCAGTCAGTGTTAGTTAGCTATATTGAGTTAGTGACGCCGGTGACCAGCAAACTGAAATTACACATCCCCAGCTATACTTTTTTTATGAAAACGTTTTTTAGCTAAAATGCTTCGGGCATGACGACGGTTGTTGTGTGGATTCCGAATATAGTAGTTATTTTGGTTTAATCTTGAAAAAAACTGCATAGGTTGTACTTGACACTCGAAATCCAATGATTCTAATAAGATAATACACTCGACTTCAACTCTTTTCATAAAAGACTATATAAATTGATAAAGATGGTAACTGACAACATAAATATAATATACATTGAGCGTGGAGATGAAAAAGAAATCTACACCACCTTTTCCGATGTTGAATTCCGATGCTTTTGTAATGAAATAGAAAGCGTCATGATCTGTTAAGTCATTTATAGAAGATTTTGACGATGATTACATATCTCATTGATGAATCTTAGCTTCATTGTTCCGTAGGTTTGTCATCAAGTCAGATTAAGGAATAGATCTATTTCTTCGTTGGACAAGACGATCTCGATAAAATTCTAGAGAACGAAAGTAAAATGAACGATAGATCACACTTATCCATTAATGTTTTTCTTTCAGAAGAAAGTAAGCGCTCTATTATTTCTTTCTCGTTCAATATTCTCATTCAAATTATTTTGACGCATCTACTGTAGCAGAATATTATGAAAGAATCCACGTAGTTCTCCTATTGTAACATGTTTAATGTCAATATATCCTACTTTATCAAAGCAGCACAACAAAAACAAACTTATTATGCTTTTTAATACATTTTTCGATGACTTTGATCAGATGAGATCTATCTGGTCGATCATCAACAAGTTGGATGTTGGCACGAATGCGAGAGGAGATGTGGATATGTGCCGCTTTTTCACTGACACATCTATACCCATACTCACATTTTGACACTTATGCATGGCCCACTTGTCTTTATATTTTAGGTAAAACGATTGATAGATATATCGTCCTAA